CCTCCTCCTCCGACGAGGACGCAGAGAGCTCCGAATCGGTCTCCGCCGCCTCTCCCCGCACCACCGTCTCGGGCCTTCGCGGCGGCCTCCGCCGAGGACCCTGAGACGCCATGGCGCCGAGCTAGGGAGGAGAGGAGCGGAGGGACAGCGTGAGAGGCGGGAGCGCGGCGGCGGTTAAAAGGTGCACTTTCTGGATTCCCAGCCCCTCCACCATGCTAGCGATTTGGGGCCACCACGTCCCAGGCCTGGGCCTCATTTTCCTCTTGTGTGCAAGGCACTCATCATCCCTGCCAGCGATGTCGGGGCGACTGGGCCCCAACCTCCTCAATGTACTGACAGGAAAACTGAGGACCAGCTCGATCAAGACTCTGAGGTCGCAGCTCTCAGTCCCAAACTGGGCTCTTTCCGATTTTGCCTCCGAGCAGAGGCCACAACCGGAAGCCCTCGGGCTCCAGGAACTGCTCAGGGACCTGGGCCGGGGTCACAGGAGTGACAGCCAGCCAGCTGCGCTCGGAAGGGTGCACTCACTAGCGGGGCGGAGGGCTGCGCTGTCACTGAACACCTTACCGGGTGGAGGCAGCTCGGAGCCTGCGGGGTGCGCTACCCAGCGGAAGTGCGGCGCCGGTACGCAGGGAGGCGTGGCAGCCCCAACCAATAAGACATCAGGTTGGGCGGGCGTTGACCAATCACGTAGGCCGACCAGGCAGCAAGCCGCCCTGAGGCCCTCCGTTATGGGCGGGTGTAAAGAAGTACGACCAATAGAGAAGCACTTTAGCTGCGCTTCTGGGTTGTGCTGCGAGGCGAGTGGACAAATAGGGGTTTTAAAAAAAACGAGTTCTGTCACGTGTCATCAGTGATTCCGCCAATGGCTTTGCTGGAGGACCCAGAAACGGAGAAGGCGGTCTCCCAAGTTCACGCGCGCACCGCGTGTGAGGAGGGGGAAGGCGGAGCTACCCGGGAGCACCCTGGGAGCGTGAGTGGGCGGGCTCGCGCCCCGCAGCAGGAGGCGGAGCTAGCTCAGCCGGGCCAATGAGAGCACGAAGCGCTGGGCGGTAGGTAAGCGCGCGAGGCCGACGAATGGTGGACGCGGTTCTGTTCGAGTTTCTACACACGGAGATGGTGGCGGAGCTGTGGGCGCACGACTCCGACCCCGACCCCGGCCCCGGGGTGAGCGCAGGTCGCGGC